CCGTTTCCCGAGGGCGGCGAAGGACACCCACCCTAAGACTGTCAAAGCGTTGCTAACACCACGTCGACAGGGCCCGTTTCGGAGGGACGATAGTCATTCAAAGCCGAGTGAAAGCTCGATGGATATAGCTTCTGAGCCTAGGGCCTTGACGTATTCTAACCTCCACGGTACAGAGGCTAGCTCAGGATACCGAACGCCCGAAGCAGGGCAGCGGTACCGAGATTCGCCGTTGGCCCAGACTGCAGCACATGAACCAGTAGCGAGTATGTTGCCAGATGAGGGAGTGAATGTTACGCTTAATGAAGCGAAGAGCTCCCATACAACAACGGAGGAGGATCCGCCTAGGGACGATGAGCCCGGCTTGCGAGTTGAAATGCAAAATGCGGCCAAGGCCAAACAGAGTTTGCGTGGAATCAAGCCTGTTGCAAAGCGTTTGTCGCTGGGGAAGACAGCAACTCGCCATCCAACTGTGCCCGAAACTGCGCTAGCTCCTACCGATAAAACAAAGATGAGTGAGGCTCAGTTCCGGAGAAATTGTCCCCTTAACGTGATCTTTCGCTCGTTTTCAGGTCGGCACCGGAGAACTAGTGAGCCTAGTGTGCATGAGACCCGGCAAGATATTGAGCATTCTTCTAGGGATTTTCATGGGCGGAAATGTATGGGCTCATACTCTGCCATACACTCGCGTGAGATGAAGTACACTACTGTCACTGGGAATCTTAAGCTTGTGTTCTATGCTCGTTATCAGGCGTGCGTCTCAGAGAGCTCTCGCTGCCCCACCCGTAACTCCTCGGAGCTCAACAGCAACCCCAGAAGTTAACCAGTTATCAACTCCCCGCACCGCTCCATCCCGAGGCAGTGACATATACTCTAGAGCTCGCGAGCGTTGTAGACTACAAGAAGAAAAGGTGGTTCAGGCAAGGTCTCTGAAAGCAGCTGAGGAGATGCGAGAGGTAATTTTTTTCAAGTGTGTGTTTGATGGTAGTGTGTTAGTGCACCTTCTCACCTCGTTTATCACCACGAAAAGCAACTACTAGGTCGAGTAGTGTACCTCGTAATCTGGATAGTATGTATCAGCGGACAAAAGCCTGGAAAGTGGAGAGAGAGAGGACACTGGAATGGGCGAGGCAACGACGGGATCTAGCTAAGGTGAGCGAGGGTCAATTCGACTCGCTGTTCTCACTAGAAGGGGGGCGGTAACTGCTGTAGGCTGCTGTATTCTAGATTCTGAATGGTTTATCCGACTCAGTTATCTACAGGGTTATGCGTTCAAAGATGTCAGTGCTGTAAGACTGTGTGACAGCATGACAGGCAGGGGTACCTGTGGGATCATTGACCCCTTTTGAAGCCGGTTTAGCACTCAAACCCGTTCGGGCTCGTCCAGCATGCTAAGGGGGCAATCTGTGGAATGTAACCGGATTTAGCCAGCATCCGTTTCTGTATAGTCTATTGTTCATTGATTGATGGGCGTATTGATCATTGAGATATTTCTGGGCGTTGCCCGAATTTCATCAACCGCTCGTGAAGCATGAGGGAGACCTCTGCGAGAGTTTAGAGCCCATAAGACACACATTCTTCCACGCAGCATGATATCTCAGTGGGTGGTCCCTTTTGGATTATCCTGTAGTAATGATGGTATATAGAGAGTAGATAATCGATTACTATCAATAGCCTATAACCCTCATGTATAACGGTTCGTAAGTTATAGTATAACAGTACTTGAATTGCTCTCAAGTCTCGGCTCTTGAAGTTTTAAGATAGAACTTTCGGCGGGTGACACTGTGGTTCACAGTTGCAGTGTGACAGAATGATGGAGTTATACTACAGGCTGTAGTCTGCAGCTCTCCTACCACGTGGATCGTCTTCAGTTACATCACTATAGTCCCAGTATAAGTGCTTACATTCGCCCATCCTGTCTTCTCAGGAAATGACTGATAACGAGCATCTCGTCGAACACTCCGTACATTCCACAGTGAGGGGTGTCCTTTATTCAGCTGCCGAGGCCAGTCGATTTTATGAGCGCAATATGCAGTGGAAAAGGGAAGTTGACCGACGGTGCGAAAAGCTGCGACTGGAGCAGGTGAGCTGCTTCTGGCACCTGCTATTCGCTCTTAACCCAACGCCAGGCCTGTGCATGGTTTCCTGTCGTTTGTACCTTATTAAACGGTGTCATGGTCCTCGACTTTAGGCGTCTACTGGAATCCCCGCACGGTCCAGCGGATTCACAACATCTTGCTACCGCAGCATGTCAGGAAATAGAGAGACTGGAACGCCACGTACACCGGAACGAAGTGCAACTCCCAATGCGTGCGAATCGCTCTGAGGTGGTAGTCGCGTTCCTGAGCTGGATTCATGTAGGTTCAATTTCCGAGGCTCAACGCCGTTGACGCCATACAGGACCGGATCTCCAGCATCTGTTATTCTACGGTCACGCTGTGAATACGATGATGTCATGTTGCATTTGATGTCCCTTCGACGGCAGCTGTTGAACGGACGCAAGCACAGCGCCTGCCATTGAAACCATTTGTATAATTGACTCGCCATGAGCTCCATGACATTTTCTTTCTTCGTTGGTGTTTGGTTGTTAGTGAATGGAAATTCAATACCTCTGGCTAGTAGCCAGTGGCTACGGCTGGTCTGCTGCTGTGCTTGAGAGTCCCTCCGCTATTGAAGTGGTCTCCTGACACGGCTTCATCGTGCATCTTCGCTTTTTAGTAACTCAACGTTCAGTAATTTCCCCGATGGGGAATCCCCTGGGGATTATCTCCATCTCGGGTATTTCAACTTGAAGTTTAAGTCTTGCACACGTTGTGGTTTGAGCTAAGCTTCAATTCGCTCAGGCCCATGTCCCTTGGTTGTCCGTCAGTCTACAAACGCATGTCACTCCCACGCGCCTACCCCGTCCATCTGAAGTCTGGATCTCGTATCACGCAGTAGGTAACACGGTGTTACTAACACCTAGTGATGTAAAACCCTGGTGGGGTGTCACCTACTAGCGGTCAGAGACACTACTTTACAGTCTTTGGTGGAGAGTCCTATGAATGGTAGTACGGGCAATTGTGGCGCCGTGGTAGGACGTGGACAAACTGTGCGCGTACTTTACGTTGGGGGCCCATTTCTGGGCGCGCGCGGTTAACAAGCGCAACTTCCGCTGTGCAACTCCTCTTTTCTAAATTGGAGGTATGGTCAGACTCTGAAGCTTGCCTCATTTCTTTTCTAACGCTGACTAGTAGAAATCCATGTAGTCGCGACTTGAGAGTTATGAAATATTATCGAAAACCTTGGAATTTAACTCGTAACTCAACAATGTGGATATATCTTTATGACAACACTGCAATGTACGATTGGACCCGTCTCAGTCATATTAATTAGGGATGGCATTACCACCACTGGTGCTCATCAAATAAGGCCTGGGTCCGAGGTAACTGAGGAAGAGTCACGTTGTTGAATTGTGTCTGAATCCACGAGTCGTGAAGTTCAAGAGTCGTGAATCACTACGTACGAACTACGTAGTCACGACTCGAGCGAGTCTCACTCGAACGTACCTTTTGATGAGCTGATTATCTTCACAGACCGCCGTAGAGGGCCAAAGTCAGCAACCCACAGTACCCAATTAGATCGAGCCTGAACAAAAGCAAGAGAGTCTTTATACAGTTATACAGTAATTTAGTGAATTTTCCTCAGCAAAACTTACATGGGCCTCGATCCACTGCTTCTGTGGGCTCGGAAATTTCTCTCAGTTGTCTCCGAGCCGATATCATCCGGCGGTGGTGTGGTGGTGGGTAGAGGAGTGGGGCTGGTTGAGGTCATGCCTTCCTCCCAGCACCCGCCGGACCCCTCATTCGGTACCACGTGGCCCTGGCCACACTCTTGCTCCCAGGCCCACCATGCCGGCGAAAACCGTGGGTACGGGTTTCCCACGGCAGTGCTCATGAGAGCGAGAGCGAGAACTAAGGCAGTCAGTATTGACATTTAACTGAGTAAGCTTATAACCGAGCTGAGGAGGACACGAGATTCTGATGGTCCGAACTGTTACCCCACGACAGATTATTTTCATGAGTGAATACGAAACTTATTGGGAAGCCGTTTCGTAAAGCGTTTCAGAAATAACTGATGGCGAGCGAAAATATTTCCCATTAATGGGCGTGTAGTTCGTATTGCCAATACGGTATTGGGGTCCCCAATTTGGGGAATCCGCGGCAGTAGCTTGATCACCAGCTGGTGACGGTGACGTGCATCATCTCTTTTTGCACTATCTGGATAGAATTCGCAGTATTCCGTACCTGGGCACCCCGAGCCTGTAAGGTTTATTGAGTCATCATTGATCAGAGCCCAACGTCACGTTGCTATCCGTGGAATCGCCGAGACTCGGCGGCCGAGTTTCATTTGTTTACCAGAGTCTGCATGAGTAGTCCTATCCTTTCTGCTATACATTGGATGATTACTTCTTAGTGTATTACGAAAAGTTGTCTACATGCGGGGGTGACAACCCTGTACTCCCGATGTACTACAGTGGCGGTGAATTCTACGCTGTAACGCTATAGGCTGGAAACTTGAGCAGACTTCATTCTGATTGTTGTAACGGTCCCGGCGTCCCAAGCTTACTTGGTATTACCAAGTAAGCTTGGTAACTTACCAAGTTGGTAAGTTACCAATGGTAATGATGTACCATCATTGATGTTAGATAATGTGATCTGGATAATTGGTCTGTTTCGAACTAGTCCCTTCGCATTCGATAGGAACCACATATTCGATGTCAGCTTCTCTTTATGCCTGTTGTGGGACGACTACCCGTAGTTGTTGGAGTATATTTTGGGAAATCCGTGGCTAATGGGTTTGTCACCATCTCTCGTACAACATGCTCAGCAACTACGCTACCGCTTTCGGAACAATGTTCGGTAGAGACTACGGAACAAAGACTGGAGCATTTGAATTTGATCCGAGTAATATGGTAGGTTCCTTTGCACAAGACCCGTCGCCTGAGGCATTTCAGCTTCGACGCCTTCTTAGCTTAGTTGGTAGAGCACCCGCTTAGTAAGCGGGAGGTCGTCGGTTCGACTCCGGCAGAAGGCTTTTTCAGCCGTTCCTTCAATGCATAAGTGTGATCGCGTGCGTTTAATTAATGCTATGTAAACATTACAGTTTGCTCTAGACAGTATCCTATCCGACCCTGGTGCTCTGCCTCTGTCCACAATTCCACTTGCGCAAGTTCCCGCGCGCCCAGTCGTGTGTTGGCTCGCCAATAAAGGGCGTCCCAAATCGATTAGAAATGAAGTTACAGTCTCGTCTCAACCGCAATTGCCCCTGCTTATCGTCTCTTTTGTATCCAACTCCCCCCTACTCCTCCATCACTCTTAGACCGGCTGCGCTCGCGTGAGTCTGCTTTGTATATAATTGGTCGTGTCATTCCGGGTGCTCGACGATCTTTCTCAGCGTTTTTATTCGCACCCTCTCTCCCCTTACAGACAATGGCTTCTTACCCTCCCGCTGGACTGGCCCCCACCGTTGAACATCTCCCCGAGTGGATCAAGTTAGGCCTCGGTGACAAGGAGTATATGTGCGAGGAGAAGAAGGCAACTTTCGATCCCGACAATGTAAGACTTCTCACCAATCACTGATTGACACTTACCACTGCGCCTTTAACGTTCCATAGCTCCACTGTGCCTTGGAGAATTATTATCACGTTCCATTCTGTCCCTTCAGCTCCCGGAGAAGTTGCCTGATTTGTCCAAACACAGCAGCTATATGGCAGAACTGATGTGCGAAAAACCAGAAATCTACGAGAAGCTGAAGGGGAAGACTACAAAGAATGGTAACCAGTCGTGTCTCTGTGCCAGATGAACGCTCTTCTCAGGTGTTAACCTTGGAAAATGCCTCAAGACCGGCGTTGACAACCCCGGGCACCCTTCCATCAAGACCGTTGGCCTTGTTGCTGGAGATGAAGAGAGCTACGAAGTTTTCAAGGATCTGTAGGTTTCATATGACGTTTGAGGCTTAATGTCTTCCCTTTTCAGTTTCGATCCTGTAATTGATCGTCGCCATGGTGGTTTCCCTGCTGACGCGAAGCATACCACCGACCTTGACTTCTCCAAGGTCTCCGACACCCCCATCGATCCCACTGGAAAGTCAGGCGACCGTCTGGCTTTTGTCTGCAGTTCGTCGGATCTGACCTATCTTCAGGTACGTCATCTCCACTCGTGTCCGCACTGGTCGCTCGGTTCGTGGCATTCGTTTGCCCCCGAGTGTTACCTTCGAGGAGAGGCGTGAGCTCGAGCGCATTATTGTAAAGGGTCTCCTCAATCTTAAGGAGGAGCTCAAGGGTGACTACTACCCTCTTCATGGATCGCAGAGTTACGAGCCGAAGCCCGGTGGAATGTCGAAAGATCAGGAAGAAGACATGAGAGAGAATCACTTCCTTTTCCAAGAACCTGATTCCACTCTACTTTTATCCAGCGGAATGGGTCGCCACTGGCCTGATGCTCGCGGCATCTTCCACAATGACGAAAAGAATTTCCTCGTCTGGCTCAATGAGGAAGATCACATGAGAATTATCTCCATGGAGAAGGGTGCTGATATTAAGAGAATTTTCAAGCGATTCTGCATCGCCGTCAATGGTGTACAAGATGTTTTGAAGAGCGAGGGCTACGACTTCATGCACAACGACCACCTCGGGTTCATCCTCACATGCCCGAGTAACTTGGGAACTGGCCTCCGTGCTTCAGCTATGATGAAGGTTCCACTACTCTCTGCTAGACCAGACTTTAAGGCTATTTGCAAGAAGCTTGGTCTTCAAGCTCGTGGTGGTTCTGGTGTCGACTCTGCCTCTGTTGGTGGTATCTACGATATCTCCAACGAGGATAGGATTGGTAAGAGCGAAGTTCAGTTGGTCAATATTATGGTTGAGGGATGCGCCAAATTGGTGAAGTTGGAGCAAGCGCTTGAGAACGGTGAGAAGATTGACGATCAACTCTAGTAACTCCACCACTGTAATGGATTAAATAAATGTTCTTCTAACATACCAATGAACTAAATTCTTGTGAGTGTTTTCATATAACTCATGAAATAGCCGTAAAGACGTGTCGTTTTTTGAGATCTTTACTTTAACAGGTTTTGAGTTGTTAGTATGACTGTATTGGATGAGTTCTGATTCGCTTTTAATTGTTAATCACAACGAAACAAATTATCTATTTAGATAATAGTGAAGTCAATCGTATTGGGATGATAACTAATGCTATGTAGATCTTACTAAGTCAAGTCAACAACGTAAAGTAATGGTAACAGTCGCTGGAGTGCACGGAGGTAAATCGGAACAATCAAGTCTCCCACCATGCACGTCGACGATTCTTGGTCGCTTCAGAATCGGAGCTTTCACCATCATATTCCGATTCTGATTCCATCAGATCAACATAGTCAGGCGACGGTATGTCGTTCTTCATTGCACCTTCTCCGGGCGGCACTCGCTCAGAGGGCGATGGATCTGGCATTACCGGCAAACCGTTGAGTCCGATCGCAAGGCCTTCCGTTGGGGCGGTAGTGGCCTCCACGTCATGTGAAGGGATGTCGTCATCCACATCTCGGTTGATATCCCCGAGAGTAACCATCCTTCTGTTTTTGGCATCCAACCGTTCACGCTCCTTCAAAGATTCTTCATTCTGCAATTGCCAAGGCTCCAACATCCCGACATACGCGCCATCCACTTCATGCCTTCTCAGTTGTATCCGTGGCACTGAATCACGTTTTGCCAGGAACTTCATGAACTGGCGGGCCAGGCTGAGGTATCCTCCCTTCCGTTCCCTCTCGTGAAGCTTCTGTTCTATAACTCGTGCTTCCTGCATCAATCGAGTTCGCTCCTCCGGCGCGTCTTCGGGATCCTGAAGGGCTGCGGCGATCTTATCCGCAATGTTGTTTCCTCGAAAACTCTTTCGTGTTGGCTCGTTGCCAGCAGCAGCCGTCCCTCCGGGCGGCGGTGACGGCGAGCTTGCCTCTCGGCGGGTTTCCGGTTCGAACAGCGGCACCTTCGGTGGCTCCGCAGGTTTGGGCATCTCATAGTCGGGCCGCCGTCGGCGCCTTCTACTGGCGATCGGCGACTCCATCAACTGGATCTTGTTGCGGTGGTACCGTGAGTTGCTCGAATCAGGAGAGGCTTCACTCTCCTCGAGCGACGATGCCTTTGGTGATCCAACGGCAAGGTGGGAGTCACAAGTGAACTTCGGCTCGCTGGGAGTCACCCGAAACCGAAAGGCAGCGCAGAGGGCGTGAACAGCAATCTGGCAGTGAGGAGCTTTACAGCATACTGATGCTCCGGCTAAGCCGCCACAAAGGTCTTCAAATTGGCATGTCGAGGAGGGCTCTTGAGAGGAGTATTTATTGCATGAAGCATGCGCCCAATGGCAACCTGCAGCCACCATATACAGGCCGATTCGAACAACATCACCAGAGTCGCTTGTGCAATCGAGGAAACTGAGCAAAGTCGCCATCATCTTCATCAGCCCACTCGGAGTTCGCCTACTTCTGATTGCATATCTTGCAAGGGCTGCGCTCCGAGACGAGCTCCAATCCGAAGTTTTTCATATCGTCCAGAGATGCCCCTTCCGTCTTGGCCACGGACGCACACAGTTGACAGAGGCCTTCCGTACCTAAAGGGAAATAAAGCATCAAACCGTGGTGGACTAACGAGCTCACCCCAGTTGATACCGGCACATTGTTTATGTACCTGCACCTTGCATGATGCACATTCTAGGGAATCAGAGGATTTCTCAGAGTTCCAGCCGCAACCATCGCACCACCACAGGGCAACGTTCTTCGCATGTAGACCAGACTGTGATTCCGCGGCATCAAGAGGCAATTCCTGGGAGAGGACTTCGAGCCCGGAATGGCAAGGAAGAACGGTCACCTGAGGGTCCTTCACTTTAGATTCTCGCTTCCGCTTGGTGCTCGTCGTGGAGGGTTTGGAGCTTCCATGGCCGAGTGCGCTGCCACTGGTAGTGGTGCTGTTGCTGTCCTCCTTTGATCCCTGCCCTCGCCGCCTTGAAGGTTTCCGCTGCCTGTTACTTTTGAAACCGACCTTCCGCCATGTGTTCCTAATCTCCTTTATGCCGCTCCGTAGGGGACCCTAACGGGTAGGCAGGTAGGCATCGCACTCTCAGTTGCCGGCACCAGCGCACCTTCACCAGATGGTCGGAGTAAACCTCATCGATCAAGTCCCATACGTGGTCGTATCCTTATGGGCAACAGGCCGCTGTTTGAACTTGTACTCAAGCACATTATAATCAGATGTCACTTGAGTCCCTTACAATAAACGGAGATCCTTTTCCACATTCAAGAGGCCGATCGTAATTTTTGAGAGTTGGTTGTACCGCTTGGCTCGCCGAGTTTCTACAAGCTCCCAGATACGATAATTCGTGCAGCGCGGTTGGCTTACCGATTGAATGAGCTATGTCATTTATAAAACCAGGCGAGTCGAAGCCTTCATCTGCCGAGCATTATTGTTCGTCTCCTTGTAAGCTTTGTTTGAGTAAGTTGACTTGTGTATTGCAGTACCTGCAGAATACACTCGAGAATGCATGAAGTCTGGAAATATTTCAAGTTTAAATAGCTTAGCGAATTAGGCTGAAGGCTCCTGGTTCGATACACTCGGATGGTCTCTGACATATAAGCCTTTCCTACTTGCATAAATATCCTCTAGCCTTATGTAGGCCTCTTTTCTCATCGATCGATTCGGAGAGGCGTCGAGCTTCTCTCTGTTGTTCGCCTAGCCGTCCGCGCCATTCCTCTGTTGCTTCATTAAGCCGAGCTCGCACATTGGATAGACTGGGAGTGCCACGGAAACTATGCTTACAGTGAAACCGCTACTTGTCGCTGAAATAAGGTCTGGGATTATTTCTTTCTACTGTGTTGGCGGCTGCCTTCAGGGAACTGGCGCAAATCGTCGATACACTCAGACTGATTAGGAACATCAAGGGAGAAGGCGCATCCACGGCGCTGTGCCTAAACCGGGAATCTCTCCTTGAGTCGGGGTCCCTGATTTGTAACATAAGAGAACCGTAGAAACTATCGCTGAGGCACTATGCTCG